GTCTCCACGGTATTCCTAGAACTTCTACTGGAGGTGTCAGACACACGTAAACTTGATGTTCTAAAGACTCTTTTGTCCTTAGACAAGCATTCCAGTCATTAAAATTGCACTGTTAGATGATATTTTATTTGTTAGGGTATATTTTAAGCTATTTTTCCTGAAAAAAAAAGCATTGTATCACTTGATCCTCCAACTCTACAAAACCGCTGCTTCTCACAGAAGCAAACTATTTTGCCCAAACGACACCATCATAATCAGCCTTTCATATAAGTACTCATCAGTGCATTAATTTTATTGCTGTTTCAAAACTTTCTTTGCAGAAATTCCTCACCATTTTCTGAACACTTAACATTAGTCCCTGTAGCAGATGTAAATTGCACAGAAACCACATTCATGCCAATGAACTCTCTTCCAGTGTAACATAAGCCTCTCCTCACCCATGAGTAGTGTTGCATTAATACATTAGTCTTCTACACCTGACCTGTTAAGAAATCTTTTTATATTCCTTATAAAATAATCTATCTTGGGAAGTAACAAATCATCCTATTTCCAAGTGGTTCAGCTGCAGCCATTCTCTATCCTGTATGGACCTACAATAATCTTAATTTCTCCTTCTTCCCTAAAGATAGAGAAATTTCTGTAAACAACACAGTTTACCTCTTCAGGAATGCAGGATAATGGAAGCAAACACTTGCATGGGTTGGGCAAGGATTGCAAATCCAGATAATTCGTTACATTAACATCTCAAAATGAGTGGGTGTTGGGAAGGGGAAACCTATAACAGTTTTCTCTTCCACCCTTAACTATTTTAACATCACCCTAACATTTTTATAATTCCAGCTACTCCATTACTGAAAATGTTCCTCCGCGATTTGAAAAAAGTAATTTATTCTGGGCTGGAGCCACCTCTTTGCCCAAAGATACTCCACTTAACTAGATAATCTTCAAAGCCTTATGAACCTCAGACTGCAGTTTTTAAGACCCCATGCAAATGCCTGGTAAATTTGTTCTCATTTGAACATCTTTGGGGACTATATCCTCTACCAACATCCAAATCCCATGGAGAGGCTGAAGACTAACAGGCTTCACCTTGGGTGTAAATGCTCTGTCTTCATCCCTAAACAGGCCTTGCTACAGTGCCAGGATTTTTTTAGCAATTACCCTATTCATTAAATCTCTCCTTACACCATGTAATTCACATACTTTGTTGCCTAACCTGCCACAACTGTGGCAGAAAAAGAGCATGTAAGTACAGGATATGTGAATGCAACACAAAACCTCAGAACTACCATCTTAGTGGTCACATGGTTTTGAACAATTACCGACAGCATAAGATTAAGTACTTTCCCCTACCTCATGAACAGATCCACTGGAGGGATCTTCAGAGAGAATGCATTTTTATGTTTATTAAATCTGTACTAGATATTTAGCATACCTTTCATTTCCTAGTGTTTAGAATGAACTAAAATAAAGACCCAAAAGCAAAAGGCCCCAGAAGCTACTCCTGCTTACGGGCAAAGGTTATTTTAATATAGTCTTACCTATTACAGAGGGTGAGATGGGGATATAATGGTTGGTTAGTGAGTTTTAGGAGTTCCATTCTCACATCAGCCAAAAGTTGCTTTGAGCTGTGCATTAATTTCATATTTACTTCCTTTAAGTAAACAGAAAAGTAGGATAATAGCAAGACCGGAGCCTTTAAACACAGCGAGTATGGATGTCCTACTTAATTTCTGATGCCTGACTGCCATGCTGTGGCTATTTCACAATGTTCAGGTTCTGTGTTTTAAAGCTGAACTGTTCAGGTTCCATGTTTTAAGCCAAAGGACTTCCACTACATGACAAATCTGGGGCTGCTGGTGGTGTTCCAAAAAGGTGTATCCCAATGCATGTTCGGGGAACCTGAAAGGCGTTTTGGCTTTGCATTTGAAAATTGTAGAATTTCAATATTAGGTACCTCAGAGTAATGTCACTGTGGACTCTGAACAGCCCAGAGTAATCTCAGAAACAGAAGAAGTTGTGATACAGCTTATTTCTCCTCCTGAGCTGTCGTACACCTGGAGAACTTCTAGCAAACTCAACATATGCAGATCTGCTTATGTTGATTCAGGTCCCCTTTCGGTCTTACCCTTTAGGACTGTGAATCAGTTCATCGTGTTATTTTTCCTGGTTAGTCAGGCAATTGGTTCCTCCTTACTGTGGCAAACACAACAAGCGTCTCCAAGGCCTTAGGCGCTAAGGTGGAACTTAGACACATTATTCTCTTCAAAACTGTTAACGCCTAGATCATCCTAGCCCTGGGGGTAGCTTAAATTTATTTGAATTTTCAAATTTTCAAAATTAAACATCCAGATAATTAATGTTCTGACTCTCGGCATTGAGAAAAAAGCCACTTGCTGGGAAACACCAAGCACTTCAACATTGCTGAACACTTAACGGCCCACTTGACCCACAAGCAGCGTTTCTTCTACTTACCTCGCTTGTCACAATCCATTTCAAAGCTTCATGCACTGAGCTGAAGTCTAGCTGTCTTCCTTCAAAACACGTTGCAGGTACTCGCACTTTTATGAAGTATCTCCGTGATTAGAGCACTAGCATCCAGCAACCAGAGCAGCTTAGGCTCAGTTCCCTCTTTTGTCAGAGACAATTGAAAATTTGTCCTGACAAAAAAGGAAAAGTACCTTCCTTGCCTGTTGAAACCATTCTACTTGCACGTGTGAATTAAAGGCTCACTGGGCCACAGAAAGAGAGCAGGAATGAACTTTATTCTCGAACCTGGCAATTATGGCCAGAACATGAGATGGAAGCATTCTTGCTACCAGGACAGTCTGCCCAGTTACATCTGGTGGACAAAATTCCAAGTTGTGAAGCTTGAGTTAGGGAGATGGAATGCCTCTAGAGGATTTTTGAAGACTTCCTTGCCTTCAGTGTTTTATCTTGTCTAGCTTAGGCAGCTCCCCACTTGTCCAGCTTTCTCTGTACGTATGAAGAGCCTAACCCGGGGGATTCCATTACGGAGCTGAGATTAAACAGCTCTCCTGACTAGCCTAACAACACTTCTGTCCCTTTGTGGCTGAGGGTCAACACTCCAAGGTCAGAGGGAACTTTTGGCAGTGCCAATGAAGTTTCGTCTGAGAGCTGACAGCCTGTTGAATCTAAGTCCTTACAGAGCAGCTCTTGATTTCATAAAACATGTGTACCTTGCTACATATAAAGTAATGCAACTTCCAGAAGTCAGGGGTAGTTAATTTTTTCCTTTCTTCCTCATTCTGGAGGAAGAACTGGTGTGTGGTTTTGTTTTGGTAGGATTCATTTTGGTTTAATTGTTTATACTGCATACTTCACACAAGTGAAAAAGGACAGACTGATTCCCTTCCTCCAAAATACAAATGCTGAGGTTTATGATGGTTCTCTGCGGACAAGCATTTGTTCCACATTTTAGAAAGTGCAGACTCTTGTGCAGACATATTTTACTCTGGTGACAGCAATAGTTGGTAAGATAAGGAATTTTATTATTAGACTTTCCTGCACCAACAGTTCTAAATAATAAGAGGGAAAGAAAAGGAGCAGGAGAAATCAAGGTGAAAGAGTAACTAAGGCCCATTTCCTTTATGGTCTTTATCAACAAGTATCAATGATTCAATGACTATTTTATTATTTATTATTTCTATTACAATTTTATTCTGTGCTTAACAACACTGTTGGCCTGGGCAGATGCATTTCTTCCATTCCATCACAAGCCATCCACCTTTTGAATATTAAACAGAAAAAGCACCATATCTTCCTCAAAATCAACCCATTCCTCTGGAGACTAAGCCACCTGTCACTGAGGTAACAGGGTGATGGAGCCATCTTCATTAGTGCTATGCCAGGTGCTATATCCTAGTTTGGCATCTGTAACACTGGTGTAGTAAATGAAAAGACACCAGGAAATGCAGTAAGGCTAATTAATATTCCAATAAATCACACAGTACATGCCCTCTTGGGGTGTGTTTTGAAGGCACATCATCTACCATAGAAAGACCAGCAATGTATTGGTTGACATATGCCTACAGGTATGCAGCCCGCTGACTTCTGCCAATTGAAAAGTTAAATGCATTTAAACAGTACCCCAACCCCTAACACTTTTACACCCTCATTAAATTTGGCTGCAGCTCAGACAGGAACACCTCCAGCTCCATGGGTCAGAAGTCACGAGTTTTCTCCGCTTAACAAATCACTCAAAAAGAGTGAAGCTTCAGGTGACCACAGACCGATTACCCTTTTGCTTCCTTAGTCACCTTTGTAGGGATCCCAAGTATGGACATGCCGTATTTCTGTCCCTTCTGACTTTCAGTAACAGGTTCAGTAACCCTCAGAAGTATGGCACTGTGGAAACCACTTTTAGAGACTCCATGGGAGGTTACCAATCGGCAAATCACCCAGAGGCTTTCACCACAGAAGAGATGTGGAGGGCAGCATTCCCACAGAATATGGCATGCCGAGCTCTCACATCTATGTGCCTGCGGAATAACCTCCGCTTTCCTGTTTCTCTACCTCAGTTAGGGCTCTAATTAGATCTTTTTCCTCATGCTTATTCCTACAGAACTGCTGCCTGCACCTTCTCCACCTCACCCACATACATACAAGTTGGTTTGGGCTCTCAGACATTCCCCGCTGCCCCCTGGTTTGGGCACTTCTATTGACATTGTTAATTACACATAGGTATTTGAAAATACTGTACCTATGCAATTCCTTATTGCTTCCACATTTTAATAACTCCTGTGTTCTTTTGAGTTCATACTGTCTCAACTTTCTTGCTACATTCATAATGAGAGCCACCTCACAAAAGCCTATGTTAGACAAGAGACTTCCCTCCTATATACTCAGCAAATGAAGTATCAGCAGACAGAAAAGAACGTTTTCCCAGTCCCAAAGCTGCCTCCAGCTTGGTGGAACATAACCTCCTCCATTCAGCTTTTCCACATTAACTCAGCACCAAAGAGGAATGAAAGAAGCACAAGAAGAATTAAGAACACATCTTTTAAACAATCATATTAATCACATTCATCAATGGAATAAAGCTGAGCCACCTCCCCACCTCTGGCTTAGCCAGCTCTCTCTCCTCTGTGCAGTATCTTCATGGTGACCACCACAGGAGGCAACAAAGGTGGGGAATTCCTCTGTAAGGATCCACTGTTGCTTATTTATGTAGATAGGCATCCAGCCAGAGCTCCCCTGAATCTTTCAAGGAGCTGCCAAGAGAGAACCACATTTCCTTAGAAACAAGGTAATGAAATACAGCGTCCAGGGAACAGACCATGGTGAGAATTCCTGTCTATAGATAAGCAAAGGAGATCACAGAATGGTTTGGGTTGGACCTTTAAAGGTCATCTAGTACAACCCTCCCGCAATGAGCAGGGACATCTTCAACTAGATCAGGTTGCTCAGAGATCTTCAGAGGCAAGGCAATGTAGACTACAGCTCCTTGGAAAGATGAAGAACCACCAAACCACTGTGGCTACGTCAAAGAAAGATTGGAATGTTAAAGGAAACAACTTAATTAGAATGAAAACAAAAGGAGCAAGCATGGCAGAAGACAGCCACACAACTTTTCAATGCAATAAGAAATATCTGGGCGGCAAGGAGGGGAGAAAAGGAAGAAAAAAGAAAGAATGAATGACAGTTCAAATTCATCTTTATGAGAACACCTCTTTCCCTGGAGCATACTTGGAGACAGAGGTGCCAGACCTGGCATCCTACTGACCTCTGTCTCTTCAGAGCTGAAGAAAAGGAGCTCTCCATTAGGTTGTTCCTACTGACACCTTCCATCTGCTGCTACTGAAACCAGCGCCACAGCTGAAGTTTTCCAATCCCCTTCATAGTCTTCTACACTATCTACAGCTATTCACAGAGCTTCTGTGATCCACGTTGGCTGCCCCTCGCCTTCCCACATCCCTCGCCTGTTCACTCCGTAATACTGAAAAACCTTTCACTTAGGGAATGCAGTAGGTTGATACATACTGTACTATGTCCGCAAAGGCGGTGAGCAATGGCTTGCACTGGTACTCAATACCATGTTTGGCACACAGGGACTTCACCAAAGGGGCCACCTTCCAGTAGTTGTGTCGAGGCATTGTCGGAAAAAGGCTGTGGGAAAAGAATATGGTGATTCAATGGCATCCATCATGACCCCACAGAATTTCTGCCCCTCTTCTGTGCCTAAGCTTGGGAGTGCCTCAACCTCCCCTTGTGCCCATACCCTTTAGAGCTCTGTAGCGGTCCCTCTTGTGTCACTTTAGTCAGTACCTGTAACACCAGGAGGCTGGCAATTCTCATTCCTATGCCATGCTACTCATACCTGAAGTGGTGTTGGTGCTCCCCAGTGCTCCAAAAAGTTTCTTGGAGTTCCCATTCCATCCCCATGTAAAGAACACAAAATTTACCCACATTATCTTTTGTTCTTGTATTAGCTGATAGAGAGACAGGGACCTTGTAGGCTCTTCAGACCTAGTGTAACTAGCATACTCCTTGAAATTCCCTCACATCCCCAACCCATGATTCAACTCACTGGTGCTCGATCTGGAAGTTCAGATGTCCACTAAACCAGTCATTGAATAAGGACTGATGAACATTACAGGTTGCCTGGAGCTGAATAAAAAAAGCAAAAACCAGTAACATTTCAGTTTTGCTTTAGGAACGCCTCTTCTCTTACATGTGCCAAACACAACAGTAAGCAGGTACAAGTTCCTTATCATCTCATGCCTTCTGGCTGAATACAGCAGCTCCAAGAGCTATCTCCAATCAACACAAGATGGCCATGCTGAGATATACGAATCTTAGGGGCATAATTTAGGAAAACAGACTTGACTTCCCCAGTGAGATAAGCCATAACAACTATGACTTTCACCTCCCTCACTTAAAAAGCTGTGTAATGGCTTCAGAACTAAAATAAGACAGAGCACACAAGAGAGATGTGCATCCTTCATGCACAGAAAGCTCTCTACCTGAAGAGCATTTACAATGCTCTCATTATTAGATGCAGATGCTCTGCATCTCTAATTATTTTCATTGAGGCATCTGTGCTCAGCATTTGAAGCCTTCATGCCACTTCTGCACCTTATTTCTTCGCACTAATCACTCGCTTCACACAGTGAGGACAAGCTGCTTATGTTTTCCCATCACTTCTGCGATCAGCTCTCTTGGGCATTACGTACCCAGAACTGTAACTTCTCACCTCAAAGTCACAGGTCTCTGGAAAGAAGGTCTTACCTGGGTAGAGAACCAGTCCATATTCTTATCATAATCAATGTGCATCGGGATGTGATTCATTTGTGTAACCCAGACAAACCAGTTACTTTCTATAAACCTGTGCATACAAACACACACAAAACCATTACTGGTCTCACACCTATGCCATAACAAGTCAGTACAAAACACTCGTACGCATACAAGCTAGTCGTTGCTTGATAAAACGAACACCAGGAACCCCAAACATCTGGTCAGCAGACCAGACCTACACACACCTTCTACCTTCTACACAGACACTTTCTACCTTCTGAAGACACATGCCTGACCGACAATAACCTCTGTCTGGCTGAAAGTCATAAAGAGACAGAATAATAGGGAGCTGATAAGAAAGATAACCGGGAGGCTGAAGAAAAGCTGACACAAAGGAACTGCATAAAGAAAATGCAGGAATTATAAGTTGAATGATACCTGACTAACAGATGAAGCCCCAGGATACCCTTCACCCCCAGTAAGGGCAAGTAGGTGAGAAAGAATCGGATGTAGAAGGTCATCATCCAGGCCAGGTCCTGTAGTATAGGGAACAGATAAAACTTCATTAACAGGAAAAATTACTGGCTTCTGAATTTACCATCCACTCTATGTAGTACTCCCTTTAAAACCTCCCACAATATCTTCTGATAGATTTTTCCTCTCCAGCCCCATCACAAAGCAATCTGACACACAGCCAGTCCCCAGCCATTCCTGTGCTCTGGAGCCCGGCACAGGGCAAGCACTAGAGAGGACACGCTCTAAAGCATCACGCTTTCCTCTGGATCTAAAGAGGAAGAAATAAGTGAGAAAAGCCAATTAAAAGAATAAAGAGCTCTGGTTTACCTCCACGTCATCCTTTTTTGTCCTCTTCACGTTTCTTGCAAACTCTGATTTCCCTCATGTTCATTTTCTCCTGACTGTCCCATCCCCCAGACAAGAATAAACCAGCCAAGACGCCTTGACTCTAACCACTACATCTCAGAGAAGAGCCATCTTTTTTCTATATTTTTTCTAAAGTCTCTAAACGCCATGTTATTTCTCAAGGTCCTAGATCTTCCCCTAATGAACTACCTTCCTAGCAACTCTGAAAGTCTACTACACATTCCTTACTCCACTTCACACCGAACCGTGAGGATTCAGTTTTAGGCTACCTGAAAGCTACTTGATTTTTATATATCATTTTGCAAAATGGAGGCACACTGAATACTCCTCTGACCCTTCCTGATTTCTGCTACTTTTCCCCTTTTTCTGTGCCTGTCAGTTTTTATTGTATTGGTTTAGGAAAACAAAAAAGAGTGGTCAGAATGACCGCTTCTACCTTAAACTAGACTCTCATGCTACCTGAAGGACAAGTTCTGTATGAACATCGACTCCGCAGAAGAAGGAATGCTTCCAGACACTCACACACCCCGGACCGAGCCAGAACATCAGAGAACATCTTTTGTTACCCAGCTGTGAATGGATCTTTCACAGAGGAGAAGGGGTCTGTGGAAGGCACCCTCTCTCCCCCAGCAAACATTATTGCTCAGTTCGTATACCCACACCCCTTGCCACAGAGATACATGGCTCAGAGTTCCTCCCAGTAATTTCTTCACAGAAACATATCTGTAAAACAAGGAGAAGTCACCATTGGCAATGCGGAGCCGACTTACCACCCACTGTTTCCGCTGTACCACAAAGTAGAATATGTACCACTGGAAGTAAAGAGGCACGAGAGCTGGAGGACCAACTAGAGTGGGGAAACAGATTGCAGAGACATTAACTGTGCCCTTTTATCCCAGGGAGATGGACTGGAAAAAGAAGGCATTGAGTGAATGCTGTCCATAGAACTGCAAAAGGGTAGGGTTACTCACTGAAGAAGAAGTACTTGTGCTGGTGGTTATAAGGCATGAATTTCTTCTTTTGTACACCAAGCTGTTAAAATAAGCAAATTACTCAGGCTGTGAAGACAGCTAAAGACATCTGTACATACAGTCCTACATATGCTTCCGAAGAAATGCATACTTAGATACCTCCTAACCTTTGAAAGAGATGCCCTATCAAACCATGCCAGCATCCACATACCATTGGCTTCATCATCCCCTGGAACTTCAGTCTGTGACTGCTATGGGAAGTCTTCATCCCTGCCTTGGATGCAGAAGAGGCTGGGTAGTCCCCTGCACCACAGACAGTGACGTGCTCTGGAAGCTCTTTGCCTACAGAGGGCACAGTTGCCTAACAACACTTAAACCGAAAACCACATGAGGCACTGAGAACAGTTTGCTGCCAATATACAGCTTCAGAAAAAAAGAAAAACCTATGATACTATCAATAAAGATCACAGCACGTAGAACTGTCACCTACTTGCAATTAGTCTCCAAAGCAGAAAAATGAGCATCTAGACATTAAACTGTGTGCACAAGAACAGGACTGAATAGGTTATCCTCCCTCTGAGCCTGCTAATTTTTCACTGTATAAACATAACAGAACATGTCACTGACTTCCTTGAGGAACTCCATTATAACCCTGTATATGTCCAAACTAATTCCAAACAGCAGCCCTCCCTTAATTTCAATGCAAATTGGAACGTTTAAGCCAGGTGACACTATGAATTTATGTAACTATTTTTTTTAAGGACCAGCAAATGCTAAAGCCATTCAATTAACTTCAGAGTTGTACCAGAATAGAGTTGGACTCCAGATGGGACCCAGTCTGACACCCACTGTCAGACTGAGACCACTGAACTATCTTCTTTCATCAGTAATTGTAAACGTTACAGATAGTCCTTGCTTGTCATCCACTACTTCATTTCCCAAAACGCTACAATTAGTCCAAGCTGATCTTGGTAAAGAGAACAACTTGCAATCTTATCTTCATACAACTGCAAGTCTCTCATCAGAGAAATACGAACTTGTAATTGTGACAAATATTTCATTCTTATTTTAAAATACAGCAAAAATAACTTCTGTTGAAATTTTAAGACTATAAAAATCTCAGAAATACTGAAGTATTACCAAGGAATATTAGGGACAAGTGGAAGGCAAAAATAGCACTATATAAAATAGCAGGTCAACTCAAATAATTTTCTGGGTGTACTTCTCATTTTACAGAAGCAGTTTGGGTGTTTGTTTTAAAACCTTCAGAGTAAATTTGGAAAATTTCAACCCACGGCAAAATTGTATTAGGGCAAAAACCATAAAAAAACCCCATTTGCAACATTAAGTATATGGAAGCTAGTGATGCATCAGGATCTTTTTTCTTCTTGTTTTTCAAAGGCTATTAATGCCAAGCTGCACCTTCTCCAAATTTCCAAAATACTGAGACAGCTCATTGACCAAGCCAACTGGTCACTAGTCTCCAAGCTCCCTGAAGCTTTCCAAATTTGAATCCTAATGCTGTAACCTCCCAGCCATCATCAGGTCTCACCTCTACAGAGAGTATTCTTCCCAAAGCAAAAAATGAGGGGTGCATCTTAATGTCAGGGTCCTTTTGGAAGCAGTTGGGTTTAGCGTGGTGTTGGAAGTGGAGGTGATTCCACCAGCTAGCTGGTGCTCCCTGCAGGAAGGGATGAGAAGAGAGTGCTGTAAAGAAGTTGTACCTTCTGCCCTTCGTCCTCCTTCCCCAGCAGTTCCTTGCATTTGCTTTCTTCTTATACTGAGATTGGTTTTGACTGCAGAGCTTCCCAGGCAAGGCTCTAGCAGTCCCTCTCAGCACTGAATGCCCACCTTCAGATGGCCGATCACAAACTTGTGCACCCAGTGGTTCCACCTGGACTTGCTAAAGACTGAAAGGTGTCCAAAATCATGCTGGAGCCAGCCAGCCTGGGTCTGGAATTAAAAAAAAACAAACAGTGCTGCTGGGGAAAAAGAAGAGTCAAGAGGCTCTGCATCGGAAAAGGGCTTTCTTTTCTCCCACTCCCACGCTCCTCACAACATAACCCTGGATAGCAAGAGCATTTCTATTACTAAAACCCAGTCCAAACACTTCTGTTTTACTATATACTACTGCAGTCCAGACTTTGCCTAATGACTTTTAGTCCCAGGTAGTTGTTTTCATGAGGAAGGAAAAAATCGGAGGGGAGGGGAAGTCATGGAGCTCAGAAACAGCATTTATTCTCTTACAAAACTGCACTGAAATCAGCAACAAAGTCTCCTTTAAGGAGCAGCTTGCTGCTGCCTCCTCTGAGTACTTGTAATTCCAAGGGGATCAGCTGGCCACAGGAGAAATAGCTGGGGCTTTGAAAGCTGCTCTGCCCTCTCCTCTAACTCGCTGCAAGTTCCCATGGGAACACGGTGGCTTGGCCCCTGCACAGTGCCTTGGCGTTCTGGCACAAGGGACCTCAGAAGGGTAGCATGGCTTTCATTGTATGAAGAAGGCTGGGAATAAGGAGGGCTTTGAGGAACTACAGGAAGGAAAAAGCAGGGCAAAGCCTGCTCTACCGAAGCAGCATGTTGTGGCACTGTAATTTTGCCCCTTCGGTGGGACCCAGGGAGAAGCAGGAATTTGGGCAGTCCACAAAGACAAGATTTCTCCTGTGCTTATGGCGATGAGCGCCTAAGTCTCAAAGGGTTGGCTTTGGTGTTTCTGGGGCTTCTTTTCACCTAGCTGCTTACCTGGACAGTGCCTAGAAGCACTGCAGAGAAGAGGAAAGGCACTGTGGATGCTCCAAAATACCAGATGGTGAGCCAGGCTGCAACATCCAACACCAAGATGTGACAGAGATACAGGATGAAAAAGGTGCGGTTGGGGTTGAGAAGCCCCATCTTCTCAACGGTTGCACGGAGTTCACGGAAATCTTCTACCAGCTTTTTCTGTGGGGAGACCCAAGAGTATCTGCTGGTCTGAAAATGCCTCAGGAACCCGAAGGCGAGCTCAGTTTCCCCTCTCAAGGAGCTACTGTGGCAATGGGGAGAAGCTGAGGGTCACCTGGAGGCAAACCTTCCCTAAGACTACTAATAATGACATGAAGTCAAGGGGAAGCTTCAGACCAACACAGAGATTCCAGGAGATACTATCATTTTATGTACAGGGAATTCTGGCTGCCAGTAAGAGGAGCTGAAGAGCACAATTTTAACCCGAATACAAAGTTTTTAAGATACTTACATTCTTGCTGGGCTCAAAGCTGGGTTGATCTGGTGCCAGTTCCCCAATCAAGAGTGGGCGCATGTACTTTCTTACTAGTGTCTTGTCAAGATGAAATGCTATGAAAGGATCCTGAAATACAGATATAGGAACAGGATGAAGAAAAACAATTGTTCAGGTGGCAGCAAAACAAATGTATTTCATAATATCCTGGACTCAGCAGAAAGCAACCCTACTACTGGAACTGGCTGAACCGGATCTTACTGCCACAAATCTTACTGCTTTCTTCACACCGCAAATGATCATTTGAAGCTGAATTGTCTGTATTGTTTCCTATCTGGATGCTGTTAAGTGCAGGTCACCAAGAAATATGGGCTCACTCCCCTCTTACTTCTGAATCTGAAAATTTCATACCCCGTTGAACCTCAAGATATATCATCTCAACCACATATTCCTCTGTCTCTATTTTGTCTTTACCTTCCATCTTATTTTTCCTCAGGCCCCATATCCTGAAATGAAAGTCTGACTGGGAAGGAGGGCAAGATATTAGCACAAAAACTGAATCAGCTAGCTGAACTGGGAAAAATAATGGGACAAGCAGGACACAGACAGGTGATGGCAGCTTCTGGTGACCCACACCAATCTCTCAAAAGCCCCACGTTGTTCCAAACGTGCTTCCTTGGCAATCCCCGATGCCCACCCTGCCACATCTTCCTACAATAGTTTTGTCTTCTTGCTACCGGCCTCCTGTTCCCCATGTGGTTCCCCTCCATGTTTCTGAATAGTCCCACGAAAAAAGCCTTTTTTCATCCTTACCATTCAAAAGATCCCTGTTAGGGAAATCAGTTACTTTTCTCATTTAAATGTAATGTCTATCTCCATGGTAACCAGGCAGCAAGGTGAAAAAATCACTAGCAATTCTTACCACTATAGATTCTACCACTATATTTAGATTACAAATCCCCTGAGCACACACAGCAGTTTTGACATCTACTTCTCCCATTTATCTCCTTTTGCATACTTCTCCCTCCATGTCCACATCAGCATATATTTTCCAATCTCCCTCAGCCTAAGGCTCTTTTTTCATTTCTGAGACAATATTTGCCCACTGCACGTCAGTTTGGAAGCTTCCTGCACCATGAACTGTTCAGCACTATAATTACTAGATCATTGTATGCTTTCAAAATAAATTGTCCTTTTAAAAGATGTCTAGTCAAGAAAGGGGTTAAAAAACCAGCTAATGTTGCCAGCTCTGGGTCAGCCCTGTTGTACTACAGATGGAGCATCCCTGATGGAGTACTCTCTGTTCAGGCTTATGTGAATAAAGGAGGGAAAGAGAAGAGGAGAATGTACATTTGCATTTTCTCATTGGAAGAGGAAAAAAAATGGGGAGGAGTATCTGGGCAGATTAGAGTAGGATGGTGCCACACGTTTAGACCAATCCTTTCCACGGAGGCTGTAAAACCTGGCAGTGCAATCCTAATGGGAGGTTAAAGGACTGCTGATTCCAACTTCAGGAAAGCAGAACACTCCAGTGGCATTCAGCAAACTAAAAGTGTTCTTTCCTGACCTTTCCCTCTTTTTTTTTCCTGTTTTTGAGGAGCCTGATTCTTTTCATTTCCAGGACAAAACTATTAAAAAAAATTGGAATTTACTTGGCTCGGGTTCCTGAGCGGTCAGCAGTTCAATTGCACCCAGCAGTGACACAGACAACGCCTAAAGAATGCAGCTGGCTGCAATCTGACCATCTAACCGTGTTCAGCTCTATGTGCTGCCCGCTCTGACCGACCCATTTCTGATCACGCAACAGCAACAGGTCTTCGCACATGCATGTGCGCCTCCTGACCTCATGAAGTATGTGCAAATTCACGTATAATTTAAAGCTGAAGATAATATGCATATGATCAAGTGAAGGAAAGCACTAGATCTCAAGGTTCATCCTTTCTGCTCAGGGACAAAACTGGGCTGAAACATGGTCCATCAAAAACACTCCTGAGGGTAGCTTCAACATCCCACACCTGCCGTTAGGTCTAAATACTTCCTTTTGGAGGAAACGCATTTTCTTTCGTGAAAGACATGACCAGGCGAAGGAAGGCAATAACACTGACAAAATTACCCCACGCCCCGCACTGCCAATTTGAACAACGTTGACTCCGCTTTGCGATGGTCACTGGCGCTCAGACACGGGTGGTTTTTTTTTTTTTTTTAAAAGGACTGAAATACGACTTTCAGCACTATTTTACACCAGGGCCATCTCCTGAAAACACCGCCCTGGGTTTTTAAAGTTAAAGGAGGCTGAAGGCATTCGTGTACTTGCAAAAAAAAAAAAAAAAAAGTCTAGCCCCGCACACCCCGGTATCCCTGAGAATACCTCGGGTGTTTCTCTTCAGATCTGGCCTGTGGCTAGACGTGGATCAAACCCCGGGTGGTCTTATTTACCACATTTATGCAAAAACGACTGGGGTCCCCCCCCCCGATTTATGCCCCGTTGCGGACACCCATTTCTGGTAGCATTCGTTATTATTTTTGTCATATTGCCCACGCCCCGAGCAGCCCTCTTCCAGCCCTCCCGTGGATGCCCAGCAAGAGCCGGGGACGGACCCCCGCGCCCGCCGCCGCCCCTCACCGTGGCGTCCTGCCCGGCGTAGTGGCTGATGACCCGGGCCCCTCCCGGGTGCCTCCGGTAGAAGTGACTGATGTCGTACACCTTCCTCTCGATCACCAACCACCGCTCCTGAGGCGGCGGACCCCCCCCGTTCCGCTGCCCGATCTCCTCCCAGGTAAAGAAACGAAGCCCCCGGCCGGGCTCCGGGTCCTCCATGGTTCCGTTCGGCTCCGTTCGGTTGCGCTCGGCTCCGTTCGGTTGCGCTCGGCTCCGTTCGGTTGCGCTCGGCTCGGCTGGCTTACGGTTCGGTTCCGTTGGACTCGGCTCGGCTCGGCTCCCCTCGGTTGCGCTCGGCTCCCCTCGGTTCGATTCGGCTCCCCTCGGTTCGATTCGGCTCCCCTCGGTTGGGCTCGGCGCCGGCCGAACCCTCCCCGCCAGCACCGAGTCCCCCCTCCTCGCTCCCTCCCAACCTCTTGTAAACGGGACCGCTGGCCCGCCTCCCGTTGGCTCCCCGAGCCCTCAAGCCCCGCCTCCCCTCGAGTCCCCCCAAGCCCATTGGGTCCCGCTCGCCTTGCGCCCGCCCCTCTGGGGGAACGCACGGTGGCCGGGCGGGGAGATGCAGCGCCCGGAGATGCGGCCAGCGTCGCTGCGGGATTTGGTGATGGAAATCGGGGAAAAGGAGGAAACTTCGGGCCACGGCAAAAAGAGGGTGCCTGGCATCTTCAGCTGCCCAGGCTGGAATAAATTCTGGGCTGTAGCAGAGCGTTGGTGCAGCCGTAGGCACGGGGCGAAATTCTTTTGACCGGATCTATCGACCTCCTCGTCGTGGCGTGGTCAAAAAGTAGCCGGTTACAAGACGCATTCCTAAAGGGGTCGGTGCTGGTGCCAGGGCTGTTTAAATGCCTTCACTTCCAGGAGGGGAAATGGGAGAAACGCACCTTTATAGAGATTGTCTGATTGTATCAAACTGGGACACACACACACACACACACAGTTGATATGGTGGAGGGCGAGAAAGATGGGCCGGCTGACAAGAACATCAAGTAGTTTAACATAAGCAAATGCCAAATCCTGCACTGAGCGGGTAAGAAATGTAGGAAAGGGATCAAAATACCAAGCGGCTGGCCCTAGGTGACTTGCTAGTTGGACAGGACAGAGGCTTGGTGGTCAATGTTCCATACCAGGTGAAGTCACAGCCTGGAAAATGATGTCATGAACCAGACAGAGGGTTTGGAGAAAGCCGAAAAGCCACGGACCCGAGCCATCAACAGAGGAACGATGCATAGGCTCTGCAGCACAGTTCACTGTTGCTTCTTTTTAGACCACTTTCACAACCTGTTTCTCCTTCACTTCTGGGCTGAGAATGCCTCATCTTCCCTGCCCTTGGTTTTATTTCCCTTTTCCAGCAAATCTCTCCGGCTTTGCCGTCTGTCCTGCCTCTCCCTTTCAGCTGCCGCAGCCTTTTCCATTCCTCTGGCTCCATTTGGGTGCTGCTGCCTGGATATGCAGCCAGAGGGAGGAAAGGTGTCACCGCAGGTCTGTCTCATAATGCGCCTGTTTAAGGGTCTGCAGATGATTCTTCATATAATAGACTAGTGCATAATGATAGAAGAGTGAATGACGCTGAAATAGATCCATCTGTGTGGGAGTTCATACATACACGTTACGAGTGTACATTAAAATGCCTGCTTCCACGTTCAGCTCCCTGCTTGCTCTCCCTCGTAGCAACAGTCTTCTCTCTGAACTCTCATTACCGATTCCAGATTTCTTTGTTTTCATTCACACCTTCCAATCTGACCTAGTTACAGCAATTCCAGTTGAATGTAACCATAGAAACAAAGAACCACCAGACTGCATCCCTTCTTGTTCTGAACATCACCTGATTGCTACATCACGTCTTTCTAGCTTGAAATTCTATGCCTGCAGAACACTGCATCAGACATCTTTCGTCTCCCTCTCTTTAGCAATGCCACAGCTAATGCATCGAGTAAGGCATCCCTGCTTCTACACATTTGCACTGTCGTCCATGAAAGAAAAGGTTCTCTCCTGATCTCAGCAAAAATTAAGTTGCTTTGTATGTTGACTGCTGACCATCTCACAAACATAACCATAAAAGACATTAATAAATGTTTAGCGTCTTTTTATATTTAACCATTATATTCAGAACGGTGCAGTAATTATTTCAATTTCTATTTTTCCTGATTATCTATTGCACAAAAGAATAATTGTCCTAAATTTAGTTGATATTTTCAGTGTGACTTTTCCTCATGAATACAGAGGGGCACTGGTCAGTTTTCTTTTTCCTATACACCACATTAAAAAAAAAAGTCTATCTTCCTACACAAGTTAAGCCTTTGGAAACTTGTTTTAAGGGACCTTAACAGTAGCCAAAAAGCACCACTGAGCTTGGTAAACTGCAGTCTTGTTCCCCTCATATGCCTCCTCTGATTTCAGCAGGACCAGAAGCTATAAGGCACGTTAACATTTCATTAACATATTTTCCCAGACAAATTATACAACAGTCCTTGGAATTACCTTCAAAGCTTCTTCTGACATAAAACCTGTGGCTCTGTTTCTTTTCCCCTCAGTAGATGGTTCAGCCCAAGACAAGACATCGTGGAGGCTACTTGAATCACCCAGCTCCAAGCAGTGAAGGTTTCTGTGTCCTGCTACAACCAGCCAGTTGTCCACAGTGGTTGGTTCTCCGGCACTTGCCGTACTCAGGATTTCAATAGGTCCCACAGAGGCAAGAATGAGATCTTTGTAATAAAGACTGCAAGGGAAAAGCAGCTGCCATTATACACTCACTAGCATCCTCCATCCAGCTACGACTGTTGGCATTAACAGAGAGTCAGGCTTTGCTGGAAGACAATTAACTAGATAAAACCAGAACTGGCCACTTTGCTCTTCCAAAAGCATCTCTTCTTTTCAGTGTTCCGACTCCTTGTTTTATCTCCCATCTCCATTTCTCCTTACTGTCATGATCTAGCTGTGACCCAGCTTTCTCGGCTATCAAGGATCACTGAAAATCCGAGGGGACATAAGAGATGCTCTTTGATTCAGTCTTCTGATCTGGCTGCAATTCACTCTTAGCGTCCTAGATGACTGGGGATCAGCAAAAGTCAGAGAAAATATATTAAAACTCCTTATGTCACTACCATGATTTGGCTGTAACATATTTTAAAATACCTAAGTGACCTGGGTGATGAAGGATCACTAAGTACCTGGGCATCTGGTGACCAAAGCAGTAATATTGGGAAATAGAAGAGATGGACTGAAAGGGCGGCAGCTTTTATTTTACCATCTTGAAGCAGGGGAAAATGAGTTAGAATAATGGATGGTGAGGTCTGAACCCATACAAAATGGGAGATTTTAAAGGAAATCTAACAAATGCTGAAAAACAGTTTAAAATAGCAAAGTCTAAAAGAAGAATTGGTGCTTGGCTTTTGTTCAGCCTAAGAAAAGCTTAAGAAGGAGGGTGCATGGGAATTGTGGTGTGAAGGTTTACAAGATGCAGGCTACTGCCAGTGCAATTAAAACAGCCATGCTGGTGAAGCAAATGCAGGAGGAAACCACCAATTTTAGCGTCATACTCCTTGCAGGGAAGAGCTTGAAAATCTTGACAGCTCACTGTAACGTTGCTCCTGTGCCCAGCTTAGGATCCATATGTGCATTAGAAGGATTAGCATAATGCCAGAAAAAGGGGTAAATACTAGGAATATTTCCTTTATTCTTGTCAACTGTGGCATTCTTGGGAATGAGCTATAATAGTTGAATAATTTGGACTAAATGAGTTAGTATTGTACCTGGAACTATTTGTTTGGATTGCTAAAACTTTATGCCAAAAAAAAAAATTCTTGGTTTTGCATATAAACAGTGTGTCTTCAGCCCGTATTAACTGCATGGAGTATTTGCTCTGGTACTCTGTCCTAACAACTGACTGTTAAATTTTAGATGCAAAAATTGTACATGACAGAGGGAAAGAATGAATATATTATAGTGCGGACTACCAGAGGAAGATTGTGATTTGGGAGGAGTTTACATTGCGCCAGAAAAAGCAACCAGGAATCACTACACATAAGGGATGGCGTTGCTGAGAGAAAAATAAATGTATTTTTTGTCTTCCAGAAGATGTAAATTAAGATTAGTAACTGAGGGAGTAAGGTAGCAGTTGTTTAGAGTTTTTCACATTTGAATCTGATGGTAGCAGAACATCAGTAGGATGGACTTTTCATTAAAAATTATTACAAATGCGATTACACTGGCAAGGCAGCATTAAGAATAGAGCCTTTCTCTCCTTATTCTTGTCCTGATGGGTACTCACAATGCCTGCTGCTTTCTCTGCTAAACAAGTGGGATTATGTACTCTGCTTCCTTGGCATCCCGACCACTTTGTGCCCTGACCCTGGTAATCCCACACGGCCAACCCAAGATCCACTGCAGAATGTGAAATTCATGCCAGCGATGGCAGTACAATGGGAATTTCTGTTTGTTTGTTTGTTTGTTGGCTGCCTGGTAAAGTTAGTCAGCTCTCAGCCACTGTCCCATGACTAGAAAAAGTGTCGCCAACTCAAGATGCTAGTGTATGTCAGGGTAAAAAATATCAGACACATCTTTGATAGCATTTTGTCTTCATTTTAAATATATCAACTTAATTAGCCAACTCTAGTAGTATGTGATCATGAGCTATGTAACAGAGCAGAGGAAGCAAAATGACCAATACTATACAGAATATCTGAAAAAAATTATATAAAAACCTATGTTTTCCAAGAGACATTTTTCTGATTAAAGTTACACTCAAATGCAATGGAAATATAAAGAAGATTTAACAGTGACTCTAAGACATTCACGTTTCTTCCTTTTCACAGATTTTTAAAGGTCAGGGGGCTTTTGATGGTCTAATGTTCTATATGATATGGAACAGAAAATAATTTATTTACCACGGTAAGCAGCATTTGATTAAAACGTGCTTCAGAAAAGCATGTAGCCTTGACTTCAAGATAATGAATTAATATTCTTAGCACGTATTCTTCTTAACTATTAAAATTTTGAGCCTTAAAAGTTTAATTTGTCTGGTTTTGACTTAGAAAATATTTATTGTTTTTTGTTTTACAGGTCTCTCCTAGACTAAAAATCAATTGGTTCTGGTATTTCCTCTCTACAGGGGTACTTCCACCCCATAAGCAAGTAATTTCCTGACTTTAGTTTTTCCTTTTTGCATCCTAAAGAATTGCGGATAGACTCAGAACATGTTAATCAACAGTGGAAATCTTTCGAGGGGGTTCCTTGCACTTCAACGTTGCATATTCTATACCCATGTTTCACCCTGAAGCTCCCACATCCCCAGTCTTCGTGCAACTGGAAGTAAACATCCAAGTTAACAAATACATTTGCACAAACAACATTTTGTCCAGTAAGGAATCTCAAGGACCTGGATGGCAATAAAATGGTTCTGCCAGGACTGATGTGGAAACACAGCAGGACTCCAAAGGTGGTAAGAGACTGTTAAGTTTGGTACGAAACTGTCACTCTCCTTTCTAATTATTATTTATTCATTTCATATTTTAATACCTAAAAGCCTTGGTCACAGCCCTGTTTTACAAAGTGCTGTGTAAATATCTGCTCTTAAAAAACTTTCTTGGTGGCTGGCAGAAGAACAAAAGGCAGTGAGGAGACAATAGCAGTCAGATATTAGTAAGGGACATTTACACTCCGAACTGGGAGCGCTGTCACTCAGAAACAGTATTATCAACAAGCCAACTGTCTTCAGGGCTTCATACTGACCTAAGAACAACATAGTTTAAGATGCCTAAATCATTTTGACAATGGAAGCACTATTCCCAAGCTACTTGCCAGATAGAAATGAGGTCGATGTATTTTATTGCAGCCTGGGACCCCATTGTTAAATATTCATGTGAGGAAAAAAGTCTTTCCTTTCTCTTGAAAAAGGCAAATGGAGTTTTCCTTGTGGGTACACATAAGTTTTGAGATGCTCAAAGGTGCAGTTTCTTCTTCTTTTGAAGAGCCATGATATCCTCTTAGAACTGATTATTGTTTTGCCTTTCTTCAGGGGAAGAATACTCCACCCTGAAAGCCCAAGCTAAGGATCCAGTGAAATACACAGTAGTTATTGCTTACCTTTGGATAAATTACTCCTTGTTACTTCAGCATCTTGGGTGTCTTTCTGCTTGAATCAGGTTCCTCTGGTGCGGAATCATGTATCTTGATGATATGCAGAACCACATCACCCTTCATGCACCCATCTGTTCTATACGGTGATGGGCAGGGATGTTTCCTCCTCAGAGCCATTTACTGATTGCTTCTCAAGCACTAGAAATTTGTTTCAGGGGAGAGACAGAAAGAAGGAAGAGTTTGTGTCTGCCCTTAAGGGATGGCGGAGAAGTTTACTTTTGTTATTAAAGCGATGCTGCAACGGCATCCCCACCTAACCTTGGGATCCCTCACCTCAGGCTCCCTGCTCCAGCACGCCTTTCCCCAGCCCAGTCAGGATGTCATTTAGCTGTTTCTCACTGTGTTTGAATTTATTATTCACCCATCTCAACCCAAGGTCAGAGCTCCTCAGCCTTTCCTTCTAGTGAAAGGGAGGGAAAGCCTGTGGTCCTTTCTCTCCTTACATGTATTTTTCCTTGATGGAGTAACTAAAAGTAGCTAAAAGTCTAAAGATGCAGCGAAATCTGATCTTCACGCTATTTTTCTCCCAATATCCTCAGCTCCCACTTTCTGCTTTGGCCCATCCTCTTTTTCCCTTCCTCATCCCTGCTCCACGTCCCCCCCATGCCCCCCTTGCTCACCGCTCTCTCCTGTCGCCTCCTTTTCCCACCACGTGCTGCGGAGCCATCCAGCCTTACCAAGTGGCCAGTGATGGATCTCATGCTTTTGAAACTGGGGGAAAAAAAAGAGGATTTTCCCCACCTCCATGAGGACTAACTGCGCAGCTGCAGTGCATTTCCACATGCTGGTGCCAGATTGGGTGCTGCTATCAAAGTCATCCTCCAGGTATTGACGGAGACCCTAATTCTTTCTAAAAGGCAGATTAAAAGAATTTTATCTGATCTTACCAACTTCTACATAAAACTCAATAATGGGACGAGATGACACACACAATTTTGTGATTTCTACTACATCTTTAATATGCTTTCCTCAAGATCTCAGTTTATTTTACATTAACAAATCAATGCATGACACAGCATAAAGGTACCTGAACTACCAATTTGCCTGGCTTTTTTCCCCCTTCCAGACTCACCCAGCAAGATATCCTTCACTTACCCAATTAGCTTATGTATTTCTACATTACTCCGAAGAGCAGATATACTACTGCTACATGCGCCCCCTACAAAAACTCTTTTGCTTTGCATTTCTCTATATCCCCTTTTCCATGCTTTCTTCCCTGTCGTGTTTCTCACCTTTTTTCCACCCCCATCTTCTAACTACCCCATTAAACTCAGAGCTTTTATGTCCCTTACACAAGCTCTTTGTGCCATTAAAGCTACCCCATGCAACAAATGCAGCCTTTTGCCTACTTGGCCATAGAAGACAGTCTGTTCTCGCATTGCCGTGGCTGGTTTGTGTCCGAGGAGCCAAACAAAACCCAGACAAAGTGCTGCATAAAGCCTTGACAGCGTTACAGGCTGTGCTGCAAGAAGGTGATAGCGCTGGGGGGTTTTTGATAGGCACCTTTCGATGACTTGTCGTTATTATACAAGTATCTATGTGAAATATCCAGATGGAGGAGTTCTGGGTGCAGACTTTACATCTATGTCTCTTTAGCAGGTACAAGAGCTGATTCCAAATGTACCCACCTCCTTATCAGTTAATTTCTCAGGAGGGAGGATTCGTTCAGGCAAATATACCATTCAAGCCCACCGTCTGCATATGTAGCCAGCCCTGTGCATTGATTATCCACTGCTTAAAGTCATCAGCTCTGAAGTATGAACTTCCATGGACTGACCGATAAAGCTTGTTGTATATAAAATAATCACCAATTTCAATAACGCTAATACATTCCTTTTGTGGAGCAGTCATCTGATGGACTATGACTATCAGATAATACTGTGAGTTACCGAGAATACATATCTTTATCTCTACAAGTTAAAAGAAGTCATGGCTTTGAATCCAGTTGTGGACACAGAAGATACAACCTTCAATTAGGACACTAAACAAGTAAAAATATTTCATGAATTTGCAAATTAATTTCCTTTCAAAAAAAAATCTGTCTTTGCTGTGGATCCCCCCTACTTTCTAACAGTAAAATATCATTAGTGAACCTTGGAGAAATGCATCCTAAAATAATCAGCTGTAGTATGTTTTCTTACTCTTTTCTCTACATTGCCCAGTGGCCCTCCATCTTCTTAGACATCTCTCTGTTCTTCAGCTTTGCAGTCTTCTTCTAGATAGAATTATAAAGTAATACAGTTTGCAAAGGACCTCTGGAGAGCTACAGTACAACCTCCTGGCTCAAAGCAGAGCTACTGTCCCTCTCAGCACAGCCACAGAACCTTCAGCTGCTATTAAAGGAAAATGATTGGGATTCACCAATTTACAGTTGTAGATGGTTTTACTCTGCAGAAGCAACAGAGCAAAAGATGTTGCTGGGTCTTTGTTCTGAACTGCTACCAGAAGTTGAAATGTTAAAGTAATTCACATAATCCAATAGATACGCTATAAGTTACAGCTGAAAAACAAGAATAGCTCTTTATATGCAATGATTTTCAAACTGAGGTCTGCAGACTGTGTGTAGTCCATGAACCACTGCGTAGGGGTTCCACAAAGATGACTGGGAAAAATATCTATAGCACAGAAGTTTAAATTCCCTAAACATGGATCTCTCACTGAGGTAACAAATCAAAGCAGTGATTTATTGCCAGGCAGAACTTGTCAACATAGATTTGACAGCCAGCCTGATTTCCCTTGGGATTTTCTTCTACACATGGAATCCCAGAGCTGGAAGCAGCTCTCTCCTCTTTTCTCCTCCACCAGTCCAGCACATTGACTGACATGAGCCAAGGTCTGGTGTCGGGACAGTACTACAGTATTTCTTAACAAATAAAGCTTAGAAGAGCCTGACTTTCATAGTTAGAGCCCTTGCTTCAAAGCTGTAGCCTGAAAATTCAAATGATGCATAGCAAAATGACACTATACTTACAAGCAGAAAAGCAGAATATCAATAGACACATCGTGCAACAGGATCAAAGAAAAAATAAATTAGAGGTGTCACAGGATTGCGCCTAAATTAAACATATTCTGCCGTGTTATCTACCCTACCTTCTTCTGTTCACATTCCTTGATTGTGCTTTCTTATAAAAAGATCTACAGAATGCAAAAGGTGGAGAAGTGATGATCTGAAAAAAAAAAAAAAAGGCAGGGATGTATGTTCGTGACAAGGCTCCATGACTTTCACTGCTACTAAGAGTTTATGTTTCTTTAGATATACTTTCTCACTTTGTTGCATTTGGAGTTCTTGAAGTACAACTCTAAATTCCTGTCTACTCTTTCTACCAGGTGGTCTAACATATGCTTCCCTTTCAGGATGCAGTAATTGGTATAGAAGTCATTAGTGCACTGCTCAGTCAATGAGGTTGCTCAACATTTCATATCACCAAGCCCCAAACCCTCCAGGCTGAACAGATAAATGACTTGCTGGCAAGGTTTCTTCCTATAAACCAGCACGGAATAATTTTGCTCATAGGGTGATTTTGCAAAGGATGGTGCACAGAAAAGGCTGAGACAGGCTTATATGTGCAATTTTTCATTTTTTTTTAGCCGAATCCACAATTTATGGCATACGTGAACCTCAAAGCTATTTTAGGGGGGGAGGGGAAACAACCAAAAAACCCAACCCAAACCAAAAAACCCAAACAAATAAAACCAAACCAAAAACAAAACCCCACAACCAAAACAAGGTGAGAAAGAGAAAAAAGGAGAGAATGAAAAGCATCTCCCCGGTGGCCAGCCAGGAACAGAAGCAATGGGGTCTTCCACGCAACTGTCCTCTTCTGGACACCCTCTCCAGCGGAGCAGGGAGTGCACAGCGCAGTTTTCCAACAGTAACAATACAGTTTTCATCAAAACCCACTTAAGCTCATTCCTGGTTACTCTTGCCTGAGATGATGTTAGCGCTGACTGGAGCACCCTTGATGAAGTGCAGGAATTGCATGCTCCGTGCACATGTAACATACAAGTAATATTTATTGGATATGTAAATTATTTATCTATGGTATTATCCAGTAGGCTTTAAAGTTAGAAACTAAAAGCCACAAGGCAAAGGGCAAAAAAATAGGGTAAGAAAGGATGATTCACTTACCCATGGTAATCAATTTTTAGGACAAATTGGACATAACGGGCAGAAAAACACATCCAAATGCAGCCGTGCAAGGCCCTGAGGATAAGGGCACTTGGGTACCACAGTAAAAGCACCACAACAGGAGCCTCCAGGTGTGTGGTTAGAAGGGAAAGGCAGGCTACCGCGGGAACACCTTTAGCATTAGAAAGGTTAAAGCATCCAAAATGCTACGCAGACACGCCTGCGGGATTAAAATCCTGAAATTCAAAGAACTCAGCACAGAAAGTGTCATGGTAAACTTTTCCCACATCACAAGCAATGAGCTTCAGGTCCACCTTAATGTAGAGTCTTGCTGACATTTATTATTATCCTTGTCAGAGGTCTATTTTGAACCAAACTAAATAAAACTAACAAGTCTTGGGAAAACATTCCTTTCATTTCTGACTTTCGTCACCCCACACGCCAGGAAAAGACTGTTTAATAGGCTGAGGTTCTTGTGCAGCAATAAGACCAGGCAGAAGCAGAGGAAACCTATAGCATGCCTTGGCACAAAGGCGGCACAAAGTCATTCTCGCTGGTATAGAAGCGATGCACGTTCTTTCGCTTTGATCTCTGTTCCTGTAGCCCGGGTAGGGAGCACGGGGAGAGAAAGGGAGAGGAGCAAGAATTTTTTAGATATTCACTGTTGTCAGCTCCTTCAGGCTAATGGCAGCAGGCAAAAACAGAGCCCCCTTGTCTGTGCCTGCTCTAAACTATGGCTGAGGCTGGACAGAAGCACAACAGCACCAGGACTGGAGGCATTTCTCGCTTTCGCTGGAGGGGGTGGCCTCTTACCCGATGCATAAGCTCCCTCCTTCAACAAGATACAATAGTTGGCGAGAGAGCAAATAAGCATTGTGAATTAAAACATTTGGTGGTTAACCATGTGGGTTCCTTCGCCTGCTTTTCCAGACCAGGTCAGAACAGAGTGCTGTCCAAAGGTGAGACACGCACGGGGCCGAGCTGCTGGAAGGCAGTGTTGCTCCAATTCTAGGATTTGATCATGCAACAGAATGCTGTAATTGAGGGAGTGCAGGCGGTACCCTAAAACCTTTGTATGTGAAGTCTGCTTAGAATCAGCCAGTGCTTCTACAGAAAGGAGTAACGAGCCTTCCGCTTGTTAATGCAAAATGGAAAAGGCAAAGCTGTGGGTCACAACCGCCTTGCCCTGGAGAGCAGCCAGACACGAGAAAGACAGCAGCGAAAACGCTCTTCTGTTGGTTTTGCTCTTGCAACGCAACACCTTGTATAGCCTCATGACAGGGATTATTTTATTACAAAGTGCCCCACAGCAAAGAAAAGACGGCACTGTGCAATGTGTTCATAAAAGCGTCGTCCTAAGCAGGAGATCTGTAGCTGAGCCTGCTGTCAGCAGAAGGAACAGGTCTCCTGCGACAAAAGGAAACTGTTAAATCTGACAGCCTTCGAGCTGGTAACTCAGCGTGACAAAATAGAGCAAAACAATGCTAATTTCAGGCAGAGCACCAAAATATC